AACGAAACCAAACAGATATCCAGAGAGGAAACAGGACCTGCCATGAAAGTCCAGGATGGCCGTGTGTCCTCCCCAGTGACTTCCTCGCAAGATGTCGGCCGATTACGAAGCGGGAAGGCGTAACTTCACTGTGGAGACGCTGGCAGACGCTGCCTTCACCAGGGGCCAAAGTCACCAGACAGGAGACACAGCAACTTCCTGCTCTCCCTGGCCTACTGCTGGGGGAGCTCCATCACCACTGACCACTGGGCCTTTCTTGCCCCAAATGTGTAACACATCGAATCGTGAGCAGACGCCAGGCAAATCCAAAAGGATGCAGACCACGAAAGCCAGGACTAGAGCCCACGGCGCAGGACAGCTGGACGCCACATGGGACCCCGGGCGGCTCACACCACAGAGGGGGTGGGAGCAGATCGGCCCTGAACATGGCCTGTGACTGTCGCCAGGGCCTTATGACGTCAGCGAGTGGAACCGAGGTTCCGTGAGGTCCCAGCATCAGGGAAAGCAGAGAGAAGCGCCTATGGGTGAGCTTCCACAGCTCTTCTGTAAGTCTAAAAAGTTTCTCAAAACAAAAAGTCTGAACATTTTTTGGCCGGGTGTGGTGGTTCATGCTAGTAGTCCCAACACTTTGGGAGGCCGAGGCAGGAGGACTGCTTGAGCCCAGGAGTTTGATACCAGCCTGAGTAACAAAATAGAACCTCATCTATCCAAAAAAAAAAAAAAAAAAAAAAAAGACAAAAATTAGGCCTGGGCGTGGTGGTGTGCCCAGGACCTCTGGTCCAGCTGAGGGGGGAGGACCGCTCAAGTCTGAGAGAATGAGGATGCAATGAGCCATGATCTCACCACTGCACTCCAGCCTGGGTGACACAGCCAGACCCTGCCTCAGAAAAAAAAAAGAAACACAGGAAGGATACACCTAAGAATAACGAGACTCTTCAGTGAGTGGGGAGGGGCTCGGCGGGAGTGGAGTGAGGCGGTCGGCTGCAGGTCTGGCTTCTTGAACCATGAACGCATGTCACTTGCAACAATTAAATCAACTAGGGTCTCTGAAATGGAACACAAACAGGAATACATGGACCACACCACAGATCAAATGAACAACACATTCACACTGCGGGGAGCAGCAGAGCAAGCCTGGGAAACTCAGGTGCATGGATGCTGGATGTGGGTGCACAGGTGACAGACACAAGCGCTCCAGACACACACACGGGGCTCCAGACACAAGGGATCCAGACACACACGGGGCTCCAGACACAAGGGATCCAGACACACACGGGGCTCCAGACACAAGGGATCCAGACACACACGGGGCTCCAGACACACACGGAGCCCCAGACACAAGGGATCCAGACACACACGGAGCTCCAGACACACATGGAGCCCCAGACACAAGCGCTCCAGACACACACGGGGCNGGAGCCCCAGACACAAGGGATCCAGACACACACGGAGCTCCAGACACACATGGAGCCCCAGACACACATGGGGCTCCAGACACAAGGGATCCAGACACACATGGAGCCCCAGACACACACGAAGCCCCAGACACACACAGAGCCCCAGACACAAGGGATCCAGACACACACGGAGACCCAGACACAAGGGATCCAGACACACATGGAGCCCGAGACACACACGGGGCTCCAGACACACACGGAGCTCCAGACGGCGCCCACAGTGCCCTCACCTTGGTTTCTAAATATCATTCCCCACTAAAGGGGCTGGGTGCAGTGACCCACACCTGTAATCCCAGCACTTTAGGAAGATAAGGCAGGTGGATTACCTGAGTTCAGAAGTTCGAGACTAGCCTGGGCAACATGGCGAAATCCCATCTCTACTAAAAATACAAAAATTACCTGGGTATCGTGGAAGGTACCTGTAATCCCAGCCACTCAGGACAGTGAGACACAAGAATCACTTGAACCCAGGGGGGCAGAGGTTGCAGTGAGCTGAGACTGTGCCACTGCACTCCAGCCTGGGCGACAGAGCAAGACTCTGTCTAAAAAATAAAACAAAACAAAAAATAATAACAAATCTCGCCGGGCGCGGTGGCTCAAGCCTGTAATCCCAGCACTTTGGGAGGCCGAGGCGGGTGGATCACGAGATCAAGAGATCGAGACCATCCTGGTCAGCACGGTGAAACCCC